TATTACAGCGGATAAGAGACACTAAAAGGAACAATGCACCCTGGGTAAGGCCATCTGCCACCGCTGGGGACATTCCTGGCCCCCCCGGCCCCCCTCCCTTTGGCTCACACATCGCCCCTCTTTGTAATTGCGTGGTTTTTTTCCTGGAAGCCGATCAGCTGGCAGGGCTCGAGGGCTCAAGGACACCGGAGCGGGCAGGGATGGGGCAGCTGGCACCCCAAGGCCCGCCGGCACCCCGGGCTGCTGCTGCCAGGTGGTGCCTGGAGGGGCAGGAGGCACCCGCGTATGGGGGGGGTCGGGACAGCAACAGGGGACCTGAGCCACCTGGGGGGGTCAGGGATGCTCCACACAGGGGTCCTACCAGACTGCCAGGGCAGAGACCAGCTCCTGCACCCTTGGCACTGCCTTGTGTCCCCCACACGGGCATCCTGCACCCACAGAAAAGTGCCCTCCCCCCCCTTACCTCCCCCACTAAATCCTCCTGGGCCCTGGCGTAAGCAGCTAAAGCCCAGGCAAGCTTGGGGAAGGGGGGGCACTGGGGGGGCACCCTGCTGCTGGCTCCATCTGTGCCCCCGAGTGCCCGTGCAGCAGCACCAAAGGCAGAGCAGGCAGGTGGCAGGCAGGAGTCTTGTCCCCTGTCTGTCAGGTCTCTCTGCCCACCCCCTCATCTGGCAGCCACTCTTTAGGTAAATCACCCCACACCTCCCCAGGGTGCTGGGCGGATGATGCCGTGGGCAGGAGCCTCCCAGAGCTGGCAGCTCCCTTTTAAGCCCCTGTGGATTACCCTGGACTTGGGCACATGCCAGGAGGGGTAGGAGGAGGAAGAGGAGGATGAAGAGGAGGCTGGCCGGCTGGGGACACGGATGTCACTACCTTGGGGGACCTACCTGTCCCAGAACACAGCCACAGGGCTCCCTGGGCACCCTCTGAGGTTCATGAGGGTCCCATCAGAAGTGATGGGTGGGCTGCAGCAAGGCTGGCACTCACCCATCCAACAATCCCAAATGTGCCATCCCTCAGTGGCTCCATCTTCCCTGCTGTCACCCCCAAACCTGTGTGGGACAGCAGCCATGGAGGTAGGGAGGGGGGAAGGAGGTGGGAAAGGTGGAAAAGAAGCAGGAAGGTGGCAGGAAAGCAGTGGCAGAGCTTGGTGTTTTATTTGGTCTCAAGAGGTGTGTGTGCTGGTGTGGGCCAGTGCAGTGTGAGTGCCAGCCGAGCACCTGGGTTGGCACAAGGGTGCATGTGCAGGCAGAGGGGTGGGTGGGCTGCCACATCCTCCTGCTCTGTGGTCCCATCCTGCTCACTTCAGCTGCTGCAGGAAGGCCAGGAGTCCACGGTGCCACTCATTGGGCTTGTCCAGGTAGCAGGCGTGCCCTGCACCCTGCAGCATCAGCACCTGGTGCTCAGGGAGGTGCCGCAGGTTGCTCAGACTGGTGTGCCCCAGCTCTGCATCCTGGTCCCCGTACACGATCAGCGTGGGGGTCTGTAGAGGGGGAAAGCACCCTGAGCCCACAGGGGTCACCCAGGCACTTGCTCTCCTTGCCAGGGACACCCTGGAGAGGAGTCAGTTGCCCTTCTCCCCCATCCAGCATGACAAAGGGAAACTGAAGCTCAGACTCCTGGGTCTCCAGTTGTCCGTTCTTTACCTCCCACTACCCCACATTTACATTCCTTCATCATCAGGTTCTCCTCTTTCAGTGGCAACAGGGTTTCTGGCCTGTTTGGCCTTTCCCCTGCTCAACCCCGGTGCCAGGGTCCCCTCTGCACCATCCCCTCCCAGTTCCCCGACCTCCCCAGTGCCCTTCCAGGCCGTACTTTGATCTGGGCATACTGCTCCGCCGTGAATTTCTCAGTGCAGATGGGCGCCACAGGCACATAGGCCTTGAGCAGCTGGCTGTGCTCTAAGAGGAAGGGCAGCGAGTACATTCCGCTGAGCGACGGGCTGATCACCACAGCTGGACCCAGGTCCAGAGCCTCTGAAACTGCCTTCAGGAACGCCGCCGGCGCCGGCTGGCCCACGGGTGCTGGGGCCACAGCATCCTTCGAGCGCCCCAGCCCTGAATGGTGCGAGACACAAGTGGCCCTGTCAGGCTCCACACCGCCTGAATGACACAGAGAAGCCAGCACAGCACGGCAGGACACCGGGGTGCCATCCTGCACCACAAACGGGTGGCTACCCCGCCTGTCTCTGGGGCTGTGCTCAGCACACCTTACCCGGCAGGTCGATGGCCACGGCTCGGTAGCCGTTCTTGGCCAGCGTGGTGAGCGTCCCCACCTGCAGCCAGGTTTCGGAGGAGAAGCGGATGCCATGCAGCAGCAGCACGGTCAGCTTCGGCACTGCCGGGGCTGGCTCAGCTCGGCGGTAGAAGAGGGTCTGTCCCTGCACCGTGACCGTGCTCTCGGTGACCCGCGGCGTGGCCATGCCTGGGGGCTGTAAGTGGGGTGAGAGGTGGGAATGGGGGCCTGATGGGCCTTCTGCCCCGTCCAGGCCCGGTGCTGGCAAGAGGGCTATGAGGGGGTCACACCGGCATCATCTTCGCTGTGGTGGCACCACCGGGGTCACTGACGTGCCAGGCGGCCTGACGGGCCCGCCCCTGCCTCAGTTTCCCCGTCCATCGCTGGGCCTGCAGCCCTTACCTGCTGCTCCGCACACGGGGCCGGCCGCCGCTCGCCTCCTCCCCGCCGCACCACGGGACTGGGGGTGCCGCGCCCCGGGGCCAAAGACCGGCGGGGCGGGCGAGAGAACGGCGGCACCGCGTCATGGAGCGCAAGGTCCGGGGCGGCCCCGGGAACCACTGGGCCCCGCCGCGCCGGGCCCGGCCCCGCCGAGCGAAGCCGAGCAGAGCCGAGTATTGCCGAGCAAAACCGAGCCCTGCCCGAACTCTACCGAGCCAGGCCGAGCCCTGTCGACCAGAACCCGAGCTCTGCCCTGCAGTACTGAGCCCAACCCGAGCCCTTCCCGAACTGTGGCGAGAGACGCCGAGCCCTTGACGAACATAGCCGAGCTCTGCCGAGCTCTACCGAGCTTGGCCGAGCCCCGGCCGATCTCCGGAGTTGTCCTTCGGGGCTGTAGTGGCGCGGGCCGCCGCCAGGCGGGGCCCGAGGACGCACGAGCGGGGCCGGGCGGGGGCTCGGGCTGGGCCGGAGCTGAGCAGAGCAGCGGGGACCGGGACCTGTTTCCCCGCAGCAGAGGGCTGGCGTCCCGCAGCCCCGCGCTGCCGCTGTCCTGCAGCGCGAGCGGAGATGCTGCTTGCCCGCGGCCGCCTGGGGCTGCTGCTCCTCGGGGCGCTGCTCACGTTCCTCCTGTACCTCTTGCTGCCGGCCGCCCGGCGCTCACGGCCTGACGAGGAGAGGCGCGTTTGGCGGGCGGCCAACGGCACGGTGCGGACGGGGATGGCTGCGGGAGAGCCGCCCGTGTTCTACAGGGAGGTGCCCGCCGCAGCCGGGGGCCCCGGGAGGTGGGTCAGCCCGCCGGCAGCGGGGCGCGGGCCTGGGGCCGGTCCTCACCCGCCCCGTGGGCGCTGCGGGCTCGGCAGCCTGCCCGAACCCCTTCCCGCCTGTCTCCCCCCCGCAGGCCTGATGTCCTGTTCCTGCATGGCCAGGCGTTCACCTCCAAGACGTGGGAGGCCTTGGGCACACTGGCACTGCTTGCTGGAGAAGGCTACCGTGCGGTCGCGATAGATCTGCCCGGTAGGAGCGTGGCGCTGTGCTTAGCTGATCTCTCTGGGCAGCTCCAGTCCCTCGCCTTAGTCACTGCTGGGCTCTGGCTCTCTTCAGGGAGGGCTCTGGTAGCTGCTGGTGATCCCTGGGTCAGTGTGCCTGGGATTGTCGGTGTCCTGGGGCATTGATGGCTGCGACTGTACAGCCCCGGGGCTTGACCAAGTGTCCATTTTTTGCCAGGCCATTGAACCCTGGTGAGGAGAGACCATTGCAGGCTGCACGATGCCCCCTGACCACCCCATGCCTCTTCCCCATACCAGGCTACGGGGAATCCCCCCCAGTGGAGATGGCACTGACAGCACAGGGCCGCAGGGCTTTCCTGGACCGCGTCCTCCAGGAGCTGGGCATGCAGAGGCCTGTCCTCATCAGCCCCTCCATGAGCGGCCGCTTTGCCCTGCCCTTCCTCCTGGCGCACGGGGACCGGCTGGCCGGCTTTGTGCCCATCGCACCCGTGGGCACCAGGGACTACACTGCTGAGCAGTACCGGGGAGTCCAGGTGGGTTTTTGGGCTCTTGGGGACCGTCCTGGGTATTGGCAAGCCTTGTGGGCCAGCTGGCTGCCGGGTGTTGTGGAGGGTGGCACTGTTTTGGGGTAAGTGAGGGGACCTGTGACCCCCAGCTCATGGGGGTGCTGGCACCTGCCTCCCCTCAGCTTTGCAGCCCCCCGTGGTGATGGATGGAGGTGGGCACAGCCCAGAGGGAGTGTGGTGGCCATTTACCCCTCTGACAGCTGCTCTTGTTTTCTCTATCCCCTTTCCAAGACACCCACCCTGATCCTGTATGGTGACCGTGACACTGGCCTGGCTCCCCAGGCCCTGCAGAACCTCCAGCACCTCCCTAAGCACCGTGTGGCCGTGCTGTCCGGTGCTGGCCATGCCTGCTACCTGGACAAGCCAGACGACTTCCACCGGGCCCTGCTGGGCTTCCTGCACCAGCTGAAGTGAGCGCCGCCTCCTCCCTGCCCAGCCGCGGGGCTGGGGGCTCCGGGGGGCTGGGAGGCACAGACAGCTGCCATGAGGGATGCTGCTTCCTCCTGGGGTGTCCCCAGGATGGCGGGGGGTGGGACCGGCCGTGTCCCTTGCTGGCAGGACCGGGTGCCGTCTGTCGCGAGGCCAATAAACTGATGCTGCTCTGCTCTCTGCGTGTGTCCCCGAGCGCCGCGGGGCTCCCCGAGCTCCAGCCCCGTCTCCCCGCAGCCCGTGTGGCGCCGGGAGGGC